GCTTCACCATGTGCAGCACCGGTCCGAAACGTGTTAAAGATATGGCGCTTACGCTGCATACGTCGCGTACACCGGAACTCCGCGCAGTTTGGCTCAAACCTAAAGGACAGTTCTCGTCTCCATGTTGGAAATCTTCCCCTCTCATCAGAACGAAGAGCTCCACCGAGGGCTTCATTGAAGACTTTGTAATGAGTGCAACCATTTAGTTAGCAGATCTTCTCTTCGCTTAACGTCTAAATTTGCTACATAGTTTACCAGTTCGTTCTGCATCACATATACAGCTACATTCTTGTTGGCATGTGAGGCAGGGTTTGCTAACGTAGAGTGAGCCTTCACTTGGATTAGGCAAGGCGCTCGAGAACAATTTCTGGTATTTTGGGCTTTTTCGGAACGCTTGCAAAAGTCAAGCCATATTCGTGGTAAAGCTGGAAAAGAAACTGTCTTCAGTAGCTTGAAAATGTACGGAACTGAAACTGCGAATGTCCACCCAAAGAGTGAATATTTGCTTAGCCGCTTTCTGTGAAGGCAGTGGTTCGGCAAAATGGACCCCTGTCAGAGTTTGGTAGCTCAGGTAGTAGACCCCCTCAACTATAATGTAACCTCAATCTCACCCTCGAATTTGCGCTCTAAGTCCTAAAAAGGCGCTTTAAAGCTCCATTAATGATGCCCACTCAATGGAAGTGAGCGAGGCTGGTGGGGTCTTCAAGAATTTGGAGGACTTACCGCATGTATCGGGTGGCGGGGTTGGTGTTACGGTGGTTTGGAGGATCTACCACCTGAAACCACCAAAATCTGACCGGAATCCATTTTGCCGAACCACTGGTTCAAAGTCAGCACATTTTTGCCATAGAAAGAGTTGTGTCCATTCTGCTTCCACAATGGTTTGCGTTCTCCACAAATTAAAACGAAAAAACTGAATTGAAGGTGTGGAAGCAGAATATCTAGGTTCTTGAAACTGCACTCTAAACAGTTTCGCGGAGCAATAACAAAAGTCCGTCTTTTTAGTGTTCTTCTTGTTCTCATGCCAGTTAATGATGTCTAATAGATGAGTGTGCTTGTCCTTTGGTCGTACTTGATTGAGAGTCAAGGAGTCTTAAATTCGATAATTCAAACTTAGTCAATCGACGTACTTTATTTTGGTATAAATAAACCAGCACTTGTTTTTTCTGCTCAATATTCGTTTTATCAAGAGGATATCACCAGCTAGTATAAGGAAGACCAAGAATTACAATCTTTCCACCCCGATGCTGCAAAGTTCTTGAATCCGAAGTTTAGGAAATACTTATCGTTTATATTGAACATCATTTAAATTACTGAATAAGTTTTAAGAATGAGTGTCGGCGGCACGTAGATATAAAACAAAATTTCGAAGAAGTCAATCTTTTTATTATTGTGCTGTAATCATCGTCAGTGTCGAATTCTGAGCGGCTCGCAGCTTCGTTAGATGTTACGGTTAGGCATTTCAAGACAGCATAATCAAATTACGTATTTCGTCTTAGATGTAGTAACAATAGGTAACAACTTTGATGTATGCCTTTTTGGCCCTTAATAAATTTAAGCTTCTAAACTGAGATTTGTTTAGCGCGAAGTCGAGGAAAGACCGGAACTACCAGTGGACAGCACGCAAGAATCGGAAACACAGTTAGTGAGGGTAAGTTCGCTGTTTTTACCGGCTTAACTTAGAGTCTGACTTGCGGATCCAGATATCGTAGGGCATTGCTAGTTGCTATAAAATGGATCAATGGGTTACGATTGCCTTACATCTGTTATTTAGGAGGCTCTAATGGACGAACTGCATGTCGACACTTTACCAACATATTACGTATCATACAGTGAACCACTGATGCTACAACAGCAAAATATGGCGCAAGATATAGTACTAACGCAAGAGGATCTACTAACTGCCAAAGAGTCACGGACACATAGGGAGATTATTAGGGTAACGCTTCATAGTGGCTTCAAAATGATTACGAAACCTATTTCCAGGAGACGAGAAGGATTGAGACTATTACAGTGGAAAGGATAATAGAGGTAAGAATAAAAAAGATAAGGAGGAACAAGTCAGCAATGTGTGTAAACTTCGATTTTAGGACGCAGAAGCAGCTAACGTCCGAACTGCGACAGAAGAGTCTAAAACAGCTACAGAAAGTCGCAGCGGCACTGTCAGAGTATGTGTAATTTACTTGCAAGTTACAAAAATTTCTGAGTTATGTTCAAAACGATTTTCGTACTTCTGTAGAATGAAAATCGCAGGAGATGTATCGGTCATGTAATGACTAAATTAGCACGAGCTTTTGGTAGTTGGCCTCTTCACGTAACATTTACTTTAATATAAATGAATGCATCAATTGCAGGAATCTCACACAATAGAGACCCATGTGAGAGAAGAGGTGATGAACGTGAGTGAGCTGAATTTGTACAGAAGAATATCGTAGTGATTCAACCGCAAGAGTTTTTGATAGGCTTGTGTTTAGGAAGAGCCTCACCCGGTGTCGGGTAACCTGATCACTGCAAGGGAATTAAAGCAACGGGAAATTATCCAGCCTGTGTCTGAGGATGTCGATGTGGATATGTCCACAGCAAGGGCTCGCTCACCGTTCGAGGAGATGTCCACTGCTAAGGCATCACGGGTGACTGAAGAGATGTCCACCGCGAGAACTCGCTCTCCGTTCGAGATGTATACAGCAAGGAGTCGATCACCGTCTACAGCAAGAACTAGCTCGTTGTCTACAGCAAGAATTCGTTCGCCATTCGAGGACATGTCCACAGCTAGAGCAACACGTTTAACCGAAGAGATGTCCACTGCAAGAGCTCGCTCGCCATATGAGGATCTGTCCACTGCAAGAGCTCG